ATGGATGAGACATTTTATCTTACTCACATTTGGTACCGAAGATGACCAACAAAGGCAGCAGTCAGCAAACACCGACTCTCACGCAATTATTAGCCTGAAGAGGGGCATAAAGACGTCTTAAAATATTATCTCTAACTGGATGTACTGTTTTGAGGCTTTTCGGCGTTCTTAATCGCATGTATACCTTTGCTTGATGGCACGTAGTTGTGCTGCAGAGGCACAAGTTTTGTCTGCTTTAGTAGAAGTTAAATACTGAAACAACAAAAGAGGAGGTGAAAGTTTGTCGATAACTTGTGGCAGGACTTGGTCGTGGGTAGCCATTACATGCAACATCATCATTCACATGTGATTGGGACAGTGGGAAGCCATAGGCATAACTGTTTCCCCACGGTGTGGTGCCTTTAGCTAAGCAACTGTTTTACACGAAAGTGAGGATCTTTCTCACTAAAACAGACCGCTAATAAACACTGCAACTTCTCTTTAAAAATGGTAATTTTATTATCATTTTACTCTACCGCAAATCCTTCTAAAAGCATTCGAAAAAATTGTAAACATGCAAATGATGTGTTTTGGAACAAGAAAATAGAGGAGGTGTTTAGCCTGGACAGACCTGCGGACGCTTTGATGGCACGACACGCTGAGGGGAGTGTCATCGCGCCATTGTTGCCTCGATTAGGCGCTGTACTTTACGAGATGCTAAACAAGGCAATAAGGCGTTTTCTATTGACAATGCGTACGAACCAAGTCGTCTGTACAAATTTCACATTTTAATTAGTCATGTGGTGCATTTATCAGATCAAAAAGTTTTAAATATTTTGCAAACGCAATACCAGATCAGTTCAATAATAAGGACGCAAAGCGGCCCGACAAGGGAAAGGGAATTGTATGATCCAGAAAGATAAGAAATGGTGAGAGATAGAGAGAAGGCAGGAGAGTCAGGGAGGCTTGGGCGAACCCACACACACACATACCTCCCTCTCATGGCCCGGCTACCAGTCCTTTGATGTTTGCCGCCTGCATTATTCCACACAAGCCCTGTTCCTAACTTTCCCAAGCAGAGCCAATACACACACACACACACAACAGGTTTTGTCAAGATTGGGCATGCTTTACTTCTGCGTGTCTGCGGACTTTTATGCCCTTTAAATGTATGTATTTTTTGTAAATTCTAAATAAGGCGCCTTTATCTCCTTTATAAACTAACCCTGTTGTAACTGCGTTGAATCAGCTGAGCAACTTTTCCGAGTGCCAAGATTTTCCACAGAAGCTTGGCTTTTTTATTGTACCAAATACGCAGTGGTATAAAGTTGTACAGGCCACGAAGCATATTTAAGCGCCAAACTGTACGACAAAGTTAGTTGTTTACTGTTGTATGCACTTTTTTATTCATTGCTGGCCTCTGGAAGACATGCGGTGCAGAAGCAGATGGCAAATCACCGGATTTCGATTTAATTTCGTACTACTCTGAAATAATTGTAATGCAATTACTATTTTTTATTAATATAACTAACTAATGCAATTCAATTTATTTGTCTAAAGCGAGCTTTTACATCGATGCCCGAATTCGAGCCACCTCGAGATTCTGCGTGAAAGGTAAAGTTGAGTCCTTAAAGTGATACTTAACTGTGGAGGCAACTATGCAGGAGTAGGCAAAAAGTTGTGAAGATTTATCATTAGTTGTACTACTAAACCAACTACTTAATTGGGGCAAATAGAGAAATTGTGTTGAAGCCCACCTTAGGGACACACAACGAATGCTAGAATTTCTGCGACTGGCCAACACGCGGCTATAAATCATCAACCCGCCTCTGTACTTTATTCCAAACGTATACTTAAGTCATCCCAGATCATTTTTTACAATGCCGTTTCTGTGTCCAAATCAAAATTATCACCTCATATGGTGTCACGCAAATTTAATGACCAAATGAGCAAGTTTACTTGAAGAGGGTTTACGGAGTACAATTGTGATGAGCACTTTGCCACCATCCACTGCTTAATTTGACGGAGTTTGAATGTGAAGCACACTGATCGGTGTTATACAGAAGTGGGACGGAAACAGAAGTCCCTTTCAGTGCACATTGCTATACCAACGTGAAGACAAAATTGTGTGCTAAAACTTATTTCCTCTTGTCTCTTTGTTATGACTTTTGGCTTCTTATTTAAAGGTGATACCAGTTATTCTAGTTTCAAATGCAATCATTAATGTCTGCAGTTTTTGAGCATGCTTTTATTAGCGCAAATTGGGGGCTGCGACGATGGACTTGTGGATGGTGATAAGGTCTGCACCAAGGGTACTGACTGCCATAGGTTTTGTTCACCCTCAGCCAGACGCACTGTGGCCAACTCACTCCAATCAGTGGAAACAATGGAAAGCGTTCTTCAACCGATACCTGCACTGGTAATCATCTAGGCTTGCAAACAAGGCGAATTCATTTATACCTTCTGATGTGTTTATCAAATCCTTGACTTTACAAGGTGCTACTTGCATTAATTAATCTCCTAATTGTTAATGAAACTTGCATTAGGTGATTTAGACTGGAAAAATCTTTGCTACTACATCCTGCATTTGCCGAATGGTAGACACATCCATATCTTAATGAACATACTACTGTGATGTTGGAAGTAGTGAAATACCAGGCAATGTGAATGTCAGGCACGTGCATTAAAAAGCCTTGAAAAAGGATAAGCTTGTGTACACTTATTAACCACATTTCGTGCATGCTTAAGACTACTCTGCATTTGTGCAACCTTAGAGTTCGTCTGAAACGCCTATGTAAGAAGAGGTCAATGGCCTGGGTGAAATAAAAAATCTCTCCCACTATTTTAAGTACAATAGAACTAAGATGTATTAGAAATTTAACCCTTCTATGGCTGTTCACAAATTAAAATTTACAGTTTATTACATTGAAACTTTAACAAATCAATCTTTATATAAATAAATGTGTTTATTAAGCATTTTACTTACTTGTATCATGGCGAATGTAGTATTTCTAAACTGAAAAGCTTGTGTCCCCGTACCTAGAAGGGAGTACGACTGTCTTCGACCTTATAATGCTCAATGTTGAATAAGGTGGAGGTCTCTATCGTTGACTACACAAAGCATCACTGATTCACCTTAAAAATAATTTACAAAATCCATTAAAGACTTTTTTGCATTTTTGCCATTAAATTTTAATAACCGATTGCCGCAATGGTCGTATTATTTAATCCTATTGAGCAGTGCCTTTGCCAGAAGCCAACCGCGCTTTATTTAAATTTTCACACTAACCATAAGACGCTAACAAATACGCTGTGTGAAAAATTCACGTTATGCGTTTGACTGAGAGCATTGAGAGAGAGAGAGAGAGAAAGAGAGAGAGAGAGTAAAATATGCACTTGACATACTCAGCACTATAGGAAGGTCCTGCTTGAATCCAGCTTAAGGTTGAGGGTAAGATTTTTGGACCACCAAGTCAGTAGGAGTAGCCCTGACAAGGGTCACACACGCCTAGTCAGAGCATCCCTCCTCACGGAAGAGCCGCCCTTCTCCCCGTGCATTGGCTTGGTCTGAAAAATGATGCACATTTAACGGAGTTACTTCGGAAGGCATCATTTAACTGCTTCACCTTGGTAGCACCTCCAAATGACTGTGAGGCTTGCGTGGAATGACTTTTCAGGTGACCAATAAGTGATCATTCCTTTAAGTTTACTTACTACTCCTTTAATTTACTTTTACAAATCAGGTATAGGGTAAGTAAAAGGCTGGATTTTTAGAGCTACTTAAGTCATACAAGCATAGACACACAGATGAACAAATTTTTTCCTTACCTTTAAATAAAACGTTGATTCGAGAGGCTATTTGCAACCACGCAAATGAAGGAGGGATAAAAATTCCGGTTATTGCTCCAAGCCTTTAAATCTTGCACCTGTTTAGGACTAAAATCAAACTTTTGAATAAAGACATTATTTATAATGAATTGGGACTGAAAAAGTTGGTTTCATGAACCTTCTTAAGACAAGTATCTGGGCGAGCTTATTGGAACTCCCTCCCACTAGTATTTTGTATCTTGAATTTTGTGTTTAACCTACTTCAAGACAAAAGGTTAAAAATGTGAACCACTTCAGGCTCAACCTCTCCTTGGCATCGTTTGTCTTATAATCACACAACTACGTTTAGAACTGCTAGGTGTTAAAGAACACCCTTCAAACGTCCACCGTCCAAATGGCGTAGACGACCCCCTATGTGCATCCTTATTATCCAACAATGTTGCCTCAAAGGAGCATCCTCTTGCAAAGTTAAGGTGCTTTGTATCCTCCAAGCACATTCTTAATGCTCCTTTTTGCATTCGCCTGTGATAACCACAGCCCTGACTAAGCCCACCTTCAATGGCATTAATTTGCCCGGTTTTAAGGCATTGTCCTCAATAAAGATCTTCATAAGTGGTGATCAATTTGACGAAAATAGTCTAGTTGTAAAATGTGACAGCAAAACGTCTTTCTGGATCCAGGGATACAGAGAAGTGCCTGGTTTTAAGTAACATGTACAAGCTTTTGCTTTTAAAGTCTGGCTTTGGGTCTTAATATGAGGCTTAGCTGTGTCTTTTAAATGACTCCAAAATAAAATCAAAAACTGCAGGCAACATGTTTGAGATTGGTGATTGCTAAATTTGTCTATTATTCTACGTCGCTTATTATTAAATTGCAAATTGTCCACTACTACTAGTATTATTACCAGTTATAGGATAATAAAATTGAGTCAAAAATCTTCATCATCTTCTTGCCATCGCTGAGGTGGGTGGTACAAGCTCTTTGGTTCTCAATAAGATTTCTTTTGCAACAAAAAAAACTGAGCATTCCTTAAGTAAATGCGATCTTTTACCTCTTGTTTCTGTCCAGGCGACCATCTGACTTCCCCCAACCCGGAACGAGAGCTTGGTCCCTCGTACCAAGGTAAAAGGTGGTAGTTAATAAGAAAAGAGAAGGGCGACTCTAGGCCCATTTTCCACTAATTGAGAAAGGGCATGGGATTGACAACGCCCTCCTCCGTCTCACACGATCTGGTGGTGGAGGAGGAGGCAGAGGAGGCGGAGGAGGAGGAGGAGGAGGCAGAGATGCTGCTCGCTTGCGTGGGCGTGGGTGTTGGCGCACGTGCGCACACAATCCAGGTTGTTTGCCGCTTGCTTGCTTGCTTGCCTGTGTGGGTGTTAGTGTCGGCGGCAGCGGCGGGATACATCAAAGCCGGACAGCCAATGGACAGCAGAGACGTCCGCCTCGTTCTCGTTCTCTCGCCAGCAGCAGTGATGGCGGTAGCGGCGATGGCGACAGCACAGCGCTCTCCGCTCACGCATCGGTCGGTCGGCCAGTCACTCCGCTCGAGCTGCGTCTTTCTGCGTCACGTCTTGATCACGTGCGGACTAGCACCATCCCGATAAGTATGTGACGTCTTATTCCATTCATTCTAACTGTAAAACTGTAACTTCTAAGCCACTTATACAAGTCTAAAACCCTACAACTCTCCACATCACCCATTGCTATAAACTCACAAATAATTTTACAACTTCACCTCAAACCGCATTACCATTAAGGGGAATAATTAAGAACGGCATTTTTTTCCTATGTGTGTATTACCCTACAGCACGATGAGAGTTGATTGTGTCAGAGGGTCGGAGCAAAAACAAAGAAAAATAATCGAGTTACATTGTCTACATGTGGTTTTGCAATTTATGAGACCCCAATGGAAGACAAGTCAGCAAACTCAGTGATTCCCATATTTTCCGTTGACTTAGAGTCCGAGTTTCGTGATCGCAGTTTATGCAAGCATTAATCTCCGGTTCCTCTAAGCGGCCTTTACTTGCGCCTCCGCCAAAAGTATAGACTATCATTTTAATTACAATCTAAAGCAATGTTTTTGCCTTTTTTCATAATTTGCTTTTTAAAGTAAAGAAAAAATTTGTGCATTTTTTCACGTTCATTAAAGTTATGCAGTTCTAAAATCCCTTGGTGTTAAAAAAAACCCTTTTCTTGAAGTTCATAAAATTACTAAAAGGGGACCGTCATTCCCCTGTCTTCTTCGCCAACCGGGAGGGATGAAGGCACACTGCACACAAGGATTTAAATAAGAAATTATGGACAGTTTCTTTTTTCCTTTAGCAAAGGGTAATAATGTGCACTCTTGGTTATTAAGATTCAAAACACGCATGTTGGATGTTGTGGGCAATTTTTTGCCTCGATTGGTCCGTTCCCTCCTGCTAATATCGCTGCAGATCGCGTCAACTAACTTGTAGGCAGTTTAGAACGTGTAAGAATATGCAGTTTATTCACCTAAACCGTACAGATCATTTGTTTACCACAAAAATTCCAACAATTGCCCAAAAGCCACACAATCCAGTAAACACGTCTACTCAGAATAGCTGCCCAGTCGTGGCATCACTTTGGTGGATGTCAGAAGCAACTAAAGCTTCATATATATTTTTTGTCCGGCAAAATATGCGCCAACAACTGTCATTTTTCGAGTAAGGTCCATTGGTTTTGTAAACAATTACGAGATGTCTTAATAAAAAGGCGCAGTGTTTTCTGCAGGTGATTAATCAAGCAACAAAACCGTTTGATCAAAGCTAGTCAACAAAGGACCCTTTTTGCCAAACTTTGGGATTGGATGGTCAACCCACAATAGCTGCTCTCGTGCAACAATGCTACAGTCCACAACATGCAATTTTTTTCTTTCAGTACCCCCTCCAAGTTAGCAGCAATGCACATGAGGGAAGATAAGTTATTCCCAAACAAATTAGGCAATCTGCCTAACTTCTCGTTAAGGTGCTTACTGACATCTTTGCAGTTTCGTGGGGCAAAAATTGTAAGCCCTGGATGTGCGTGCGTTCGTGAAGCATCTCCTTTTGCGAAACGTGTGAATTTTGAGAGATGGTTGATCAAATAGCCCATTTTCAATGGATAAACACAACGTAGAAGGTCTGTCAATTGCAATGCTGTTTATCGCAATTTGTTTGGAATCGCATTCACCAAAACTGCTATTCGCGGCACATTTAAAATTGGTTTATAGTTTATTTTCCATTAGCACTGCCAACTATTTTAAACCGTGGCAATTGTGCTAAAGTTGATTCATTACATCCACTGTTGCTATCGGATGCAGGGAGAAGGAAAAAGGCCTTTCTGTGAACTTATTTAACAATTCTCATGATGCCCATCACGCCTAGGGCTTAGCCAGGTCAAACGTATTTGCACACATTGCGATGGTTTGTGTTTCTGCGTCATAAACCACCTTGATAATCCGTTAGGGAAGCAATTATTCTGGTAAATAATGACAGTGACTTATTGTCCAGGTTATCGAAGTTTGATTTTTGTTTTTGCCCTATCAAGTGGGTGGCATTCGTCAGTCTCCCATTTTGGGCATTCAAGTAGTTAAAGCAGGCGTTGGTTATGGGTTGCTTCGAGACAAAGTAGAACCAGTCTTGAAGTCAAATTCTTGCGTAATTTTTGGGTCGAGAAACACGCCTCTGTCAGACAGGGAGCCAGACGTCTATACATAAATTTTTCCTTCCTCTGTTACCCTCCTCATCATCCTGTTCCTATTCCCACTGCCAAATTAGATGCGGCAAACAACTAGACCATACGTAGATAAACTACTGATTTCTTTCTGCATCAATGTGATGACCAGATTACAAAACTACAAAGCACAAAAAAGGTATTTGCTAACTTCAAATGGAAAAATTGGTAGCTTTTTTGTAAGTTTGGGAAATATTGTGTGAAGTATGTGAACCGGATAAAAGGAGTGCCAGTGGAGCCCACTCAGGTAGAAACAAGAAATGTTCTATCAGACACGGCTCCATAATTCTAATCGAAAAATACCAGCTTACTGCCGCTACCACCCTCCCCATAGCCTCTCCTCCACATACACACATTCATGGGAGAGCATGCAATAGAGGGTGTGTGTGTGTGTGTGTGCAAGCAAGGACCTTGCTCACTCCGATAAATCACCTAGAGAGGGAGTTAGGGAGCGAGGGTATGCGAGCACAGCGCATGCGCGCACTTAACGGACGGAAGCCCACTCTTCTCTATGTGTGTGTCGGTCCCTGTACGAGACTTCAAAAGCGTCGTGTCGCACCGCCGCCGTTTCCCGCCCGCCTGCACGCGCATACGCACGCACGCAATGCGTGCGTGCCCATCTCACACGCCCCATGCAAACCTACTCTGACCGCCATCTCCAGTGCCCCACGCTTTCTCCTAGCAGGTCTCAAACTAAACCTCATTCGTTTTTCTCATCAGTCAAATAGGTCGCCATGTTTTATTTTGTATCACGTTTAAAGAGCTGCAATGGAGATCACAGACATTGAATCGAGTGAAAACAAAGCCTTACATAAGTCTGCTCAAGTACCCTAAGAGGTGCTTAATTTAAATGTAACAACTTCGTGACAATAAATCACTTTTTAGCAATTTGCTTTTGCATTGTTAAAAGACCTTTTTGCTTACAATTTAAAACTATTAGCTCGAACAGACTTATTAAGGTGGAAGTGGGAGGAAGGAGAC